TTTGTGAGAGAGTATCACACACTGTTTTCATGCCTTTACAGTTTGACTTTATTTTGAGGATTTAAAGTGCAATATATTACGATAAATGCTATTTTAGGAATCAGAAATCCAAGTTTATATTTTCACAAATACCCAGACTGTTAGATTTCTTTATTGTTGCTGTCACAAAATTCATACAGTATTTATTCAAATCAAACATGTTTTTCTCTAATATTGTGACAGCCTTATGCCTTATTTTCTTTAGAAAGATTCTCATAAGTTCCTCCATACTGTTTAATCACCATAAACAAAAGAGGATTTCTAAATATCAGAGCTCTTCATATAGAGCCTTGTTGAACTTTTGATGCAGATCTTTACTTTTCTTACAATATAATCGGCTGTAGAAAAAAAAAAGTACCGGTATTGATCCATTCCATTTCTATTAGTTGTTTTATCTTGCTGTTTTACTCGTGATTCATCTAGTGGAGCATGAATAAATTAATAGAACACATTTTATAGGTTGATATTTTGGTCCTACTTACAGTGATAGCATGCATGGAGTAGCCGAGCCCTAGCTGCCTGCAAACCACCATGGCCTCCTTTGTGGTCCAGCCTGTACTGCACACTGTGCCCCACTTGGACCCAACCTGAACCTCGACCCGGCCTTCATAACTGCTTCTGCCGCCCACTATCCGGATCTGCAGAAAGGTCCTGCTGGGAGTTAGACTGGGGACACACTTCCTGTCCTGTCTGCGAACTATCTAAACTCAGACTACCCAGTGTTTATATGGAGTCCTCAGGCAGTGGAAAATGTGTTGTGGAAGCAGCTCTTTGGTTAGTCTTTATGAGGCCAGGAGATCAGCGTGGTTTCCAGATGAGGTCACCACGTAGCTATGGGGATGAGTAACACTCAGTTGGAGTAAAAGCTTTTTATGATCCCTGTTTTAGTTTTTTTTTTTACACATAACAAGTCTGAGAAAAAACATTGCATGCTCAGAAAAGTATATATTGCATATGAAAATACAATAATACTGACATATACTAATGCTCATGCCTGATCATTTTTATTGGAAGAAAATGCAACTGTGTCCAGTTCAATGTTTGGACTAAAAAGTCTTTATGTAAACTAGTAGACAACATAACTTCCATTGTCGTAAATATGCATATAAATGCAGAGACATAAACAGTTACTAGCTCATACCATTTGATTCCCCTGGGTGTCTGAACTGAGAGAGGCTTTTTAGTTGCTGCTGCCAAGCCAGACACATTATTACATGACAGTAAACACTCTTGAAATGCTGCTGCTAAAGAGGCTGGATTCACCACACTGCAAAAACTGATCTAAAAAGAGTAAGACTTTCTTAAAATAGGTGTTTTTGGCCTTAATTTGGGAAAGTAAATAAGATGATCTGCCAATGAAATGAAAATTAATTATCTCCATGAAATAAGTTAATTAGATATTATGCATTACAAAATTATTTCTTATTTTAAATTACTGCAACAGAAAATTGTCTTACTTTTCTGCTTAAATCAAGGGAAAATGCACTCATTTCACGAACAGTTGACCTAGTTTTTTTATTGTTGTGTTTGACCTCAGAAATGGATTTATGAGTTTTCTTTTCAAAAATAATTTGCAAAGAAGAAGACCTATGTTTTTTTTGGACAGTGCAAAAAAGATTACATAAAATCATTGTAACCATTCACAACAGATTGATATTAGGCTTAAGGGATTGAATTTTATCTTTTTAAGAACGTTCTACAGGAACCTAACTCAGTAAATTTAGATAACTGGAAGTTCAGAAGTATGGAATTTTTGTGCTTTTCTATGGTTGCAAATATGTCTCTATTTCCTAATTTAAAGTGATTATTATTAATTATTTTCCATTTTAAAATAAAGAATATTTTGACTTCTAAATGAATCAGTTTGGACTGGATATGCAACACACTGGATATGCAATACACTACTTAAATACATATGTATTTAGTCCTTTATGAACGATTATAATTAGGATTATAATGTGGATCAATGGGAAAGTATTATTGATATGGGACCAAATATACCCATGCACCATCTGTATGCTTTTATGCAAAAATGCAGGGAATTCAGATATCTAATTCTTGTTGTTAAAAATCATTACAGTAGTTTGTTGGATATCTTAAAAAAAGAGAAGCCCAGACCCATAACCTGCTTTGTACTGGTTCTGTAAGAGGTACACAGGACAACTTTAAAGAACTTCAGCAGATTCCTGACCAAATATGTTTGCCTCACACTGTTTCCCTTCTTAACAGTATATTGAATTTGAATGTGCAATATATACTATAAGAATGCAAATATTTGCTTTACAGCAGTAAGTTAGTTCTGGTAGGGTTAGTAACCTACTTGCAAGCCCTGGTTAGCGTAGCCCAACCCCAGCTGCCTGCACGCCACCATGGCTTCCTTAGTGGTCCAGGTCTCACCACAGATCAGACCCCAGCTCTCAGTCCCGTTAGAGTCGGAGCTCAGCACCTCCACGCGGCCCTCATAGCGAGTTCGTCCTCCTGTGATTCGGATCTGTGTGAGACTGATGGGTTAGGGGACTACAAAGCAAAGCGTAGATGTAGAGGGACCAGATTCTTCACAAATCCTTCTGAAATATGCAGAAGCTCTATTTTTGTCAACAGTTTATTAAAATCCACCCTCATGCCTCGATCTATGATCATTTGTATTGGATGAAGGGTAGGTTTTAATGGATTATTGACACAAAGCATTTGTTTGTACTGGAGATATGGTTAAACTAGCAAAAGGAGTTTAGAAAAACGAAACATGAAGCTGTTCAAGCACTAATGCTGCATGTTTGAAAAAAATTAAAAGTGCTTCAAGAGAACAATTTCACAAATTCTCTTTTTCTAGAACCATAACCTGAATAGAGTTAAATCCCAGTTAAGAAGCAATAATGAAGAAGTATTAGTTGAACTAAGCTTAGCTTTTCACACTAATAACCAAAGAAGTGTCTTAGAGTAGCACATACATGTACAGGTACACTTAAAAAGATTAGAATATCATGAGAAAGTTCAGATAATTTTCTGTGACTTCAGACACTGGAACCCTAACAGTTCTAAATAACTGAAAGCACTTGAAGAGGTTTCCGAAGTGAACTGACTTGTGGTCCATGTTTCCACAAAGCAGGCATTGGTACAATGACAGACATACTTTGCACATGTAACCATATGAGGACTTTTAGAAGCAATAGCAGAATAATATGAATAAATAGTAGTAGAAATAAATAGTAATATTAACTAATCGTAGAATAATATTAATAAATAAATAATATTAATAGCCCAGCGTACAACATTACAGATAGAAAACACAGATTTTTTTTCCTCTCATGATTTTCTTTAAGCAGCAAACAAACACAACTTTCCCTTTTCATTTATTTTTTTATATTTAACTTCAATTTAAGTCATTCTCATCATTTTATTTACAACTTTTGTTTGTAGCACTTTGAGATGGGCTACAGTAGTATGATTATTATCTTTTAAAAATGTGTTGTAATAATCTCCAACAACATGGCTAAGAGCCGTGTTTGTCTTTTACAGCCGCTCTCACACTGCCAATAAAAGATGCAATATGCTTATTTTAATGACACAAAACCAAAAACAAAGCAATCTTTGTAGATCACCTGCAACACACCAGCTTTTTTTGAATATCAGACTCAATGTGCGATGAATCTAAATGTATTGGTTTTACTGTCTGAGTGACAAAATTTATTGAACTTTTTCAAGATGCATTTCATTTTAAATGTACACGGAAACAAACACAGTGTTCCCACTGTTTCATTAAAATCTGGAACTAATTCAATCTCTTATGCTCAAACTGATTAAATACGTTTTAAATTATTATTAAGACAAACAGTTATGTGAACATTTCAGTAAGGAGGTAAGGTCTGACCGAGTTCTCCAGGCCCATGTAGGGGATGTTGCAGCGGACAGCAGCGTCCTCCATGTGCTGACAATCCTCAGATGTAATGTTTTTAAACGGGCAGTTCCAGATCGACTTCTCATTTCCAAAGCACTTCACCTCATTCATGTAGATTGGACCTATTCCTGAAAAAAAGGAAAAAAAGAACGAGATCTGGAGTCAAACTAGCTAAAGAATTTTAAGGAGGAACTTCAAACTTTATTTTTTTTTTTTTTGGAAAAAAATTAAACATTTCTTTACAGTAGTACTTTTATCTCCTAATGTTACTTTTCTAACATTACAACAAACCATATAATTTTATTTAGTTGTAAATGTTTCCTTTAAATTAGCCTGTGTTAATATCCTGAACACTTAATGCAGGATTACAATAAATAGATCTACCAAGAAAGCTGTCTGACTTTTAACATTCTTGTTAGACTAATTCAGCTGTTTTCTTTCTTACAATGAAATTTAGGAATCAGACTCTAGAATGTCAAGCAGTACATGACTCCTTCATGTAGTGCTTGATGCATTTCTTATAAATGGCTGCCATTTAGGTGCTCTTGCTTCTGACCTACATGGATGTTTCTGGCTAATCCAGGAAGCTGGTGGTCAGACACCCATCCAACCGCATCACGGCTATGCTGCTTCATCTAACGGATCCATACTAAACCTCATCAGCCAACTTACTCCGAGGTGCTCATTATAATATGCAAACACAAGAAGAGGAACTCCTTCCTGGCATTTCCCAGAACCGGTGCTGAAAAGGCTGCCTGTTTTCTTACCTAACGGAATTTCTCGCCCGTTTAGCCAAATACCCACACTTGTACCTTGTAAAGGAAATACCCAAATGAGAAAAACACACATTTCCACATGAAGAACTATGCAACGTCACGAAAGCCTTTTGGTTGAAAAGTTTCCCCCATCAGAGATGATGAAGAACAGCTTTAGTCGCCCTTATTAGAGCTCCTGGTAAATTAGTGGAACAGTCCTAAAATAATATAATTAATATAGTCTGATTCCAGATTTTTTATTTGTGGAGAAAAGCAAATCCAATGTTATCAAATTATTGTATTAAACATATCAAGGTACTAATGCTTATGTATAATCCTATTTTTTACAGCACTTAGTCTTGTCCAGTAAAATGTCATAAAGTTGGAGTACACAGACAGATCTTTGACCATGCATAACCTTAGTAGATCAGTCTGATTCCTCGGTCCTCCTTTATGCACTATTGCCTTCAGTTCACCCCAAAGGTTCTCCAGAGCATTTCAGCCAGAGAACACAGTTGATTTTGTACCTTTAGAAGAAAGGTAGTTTGAAAGGTGTGTGAAGGAAGCCATTTATGTTAACCTCTTACACCCTCAGGGGGAATAAATAAATTTCTGCCTGACAAAAACACACAAAAGTAAATCACTTATAGCCTTACAGCTATTTGATTTAAGAAGAAACCTTTGGTACCTCTGTAAAGGTAAGATGTCATAGAATGGTTTTCTGGTGTCAGCACCATTGTAGCTTTGACCCTGCCTGAAATATTAGGGACAAAATACAAAATATTTTGCATTTTCTTAACCTCGCCAAAATTTTCTTTGAAATAAACATTGCAAAACACTACCAAAATATTATTTATAGCACAAAAAAGTAGTACAGACTTTTAAATCTAAATGTTGTGTAAAAATATACCAAATTTGGACTCAATCAGATGTATCATATTTATTTTAGAATGGTATTAGTGAGAAATTTCTTAGGCGGAGAGGCCATTTTGGCACATTTATCCAAAAATGTCACCAAACTGTGCCAGATGTGTTTTTTACATCAATACTGGGGGTTTGTTAAAATTACGAGGTCACGTAGCAGCTGGACCCACCGGTGGGTCCGTAGGGTTCTAGGGGTTAAGAAAGAAAAATCAAACTTAAACAGAGTGTGAACTCAGGTTTCAGCTTTCAAAAACCTACAAAGCAGCGATAGAGTGGATTCCTTCCCGCTATCATCTCAACCCCGACTCCCATACAGGGGACGAACCATCTCGCCTGTTCAGCCAGGCCAACGATTTCCGTTAACGACCCCCCTTACAGAGGCATAGACCAGTATCAGGTATTGCAGGCCAACAAAGAACCCAAATGACTCAGTATTCTTAAGGGGCGGACCCGTGCTCCTTGTTCAATTTGCATGTTTTCTAAGCCAAAACAAGGCATTGTTTTGGTCCACTCTATAAAGCCTAGAACTCAACAGTAATTCTGATATTTGAATTGAAAAAGCTTCCTGGATGGGAAGTGAAATGTCTTTAAACTTGGAAACAATGTCTAGTGGATAGTTTTTTTGGTTTTTTTTTACTTTTTTGGAATTTTGTACCTAAATTAAACATGCCTACATGCTTTGTAGATCATTATGCTTAGGAAAAAAATGCATTTTTAGCTCATTAGACACTAACAGTTTGCATAAAGTGCGGTTCTACATTGTCACCCTAGTGAAAGTCGCTGCTCTGATGAGCTTAAGGAGAGAGATCCTGGTTGTAGTGCAGCACAGGAGTTAAGCTTATATATTAGCTTTGAGTCTTTCCTTCTAGTTCTCAGATGATGATAAAACATTGACGACAGGTGTTCATAACATGGAACAAGTGAAATCTTATTTATCCTTTATTAAACCTGGTATAAAACCTGTTGAGACAAAGGCCTCTTTTACAAGGGTGATTTCCCACCTTGACCCATGCGGGCACCAGTAAGAGCTTCCTTTGCGCTGCCGAAGCCAAGCTCTCTGCAAACGACGCTGGCTGACTGCAGGTTCCAGCGGTCGTCACACACAGTCCCCCATTCGCTACCTTTCAGTACTTCCACTCGACCTTCTCCCAGCCTGGCTCCACCCTTCAGCCTCACGTTGCTCTAAAGAAAAAAGAAAAGAAACATACATTTGTCTATATTTGTTTAGGAAACCCAAGCCTGCTTGCGGCATAGTCTCTCAGCAAGCAAAAATCCAGTTTAAACATTACTTGTAATCATCGCCACATTTTGCCACCATACAACCACAGACTTCTGAAACACGTGGATTTTTGCTCTGGATGAAAATTGTGCTGAGCTGTAACCTTCCATTTTATAGCTGTGTATTCTTAACTCCATTTATATTTGTACTTTAAGTTGGCCGTCTTCAAATGTGAATGCTGCGTGTTTTGCTTTAAGTGAATCCTAATTCTACAGCCTCTGCCCCATTTTAAACCCTTTGCAGCCCTTAATAGGTTTTCTCTGACAATGCACGGATATTAAAATCGGGGCAATATGGATGTCTGATGTTAATGTTTCCTTTATGGTCAATAACCCGTTTTTACCCACACCCTATATTATGTTTACCTGCTGACACTGCTGCTGTAGTTAAACTAAATCCTGGGCTGCATCACAATCATTAGCTGCATTTCCATTAACCATCAAATTGCGCAAAAATGTAATTATGAAAATAGATTCTCTAAATGGAAGAAAACAACAACAAACAAACTGTTTTATAAAAAGTTTTTACACTTAGATGAAATAGTTTTTTGGTTGTATTTAAATCTTTATATTTCGCGAAACTGCTATCGAAAGCACTTTTTTTCCATCACATGAGTCACATGGTCTGCATCTAGACCTTACAGACAGGAAGAAGACAGGAAGTAGGTGGAAGATGATGGAACCAACTAGAGGCTGAAATATGGATATATTCCATGTGATTATTTAATCTGCATCTGCCATGTTGTTTCCAGAGGTATAACATTAACAAACATATTCATGTGCAATTTTAATTGTATTGTGTATAAAGAAAATAATGGAATTATAAAACTTTGCATTGTGGAATTTAGCGGGATATCGGCATACCCTTGATCTGACTTGTAATTTAAATGCAACTACTGTCACACAAACACACAGACACACAAAAAACATGACCATTCCCCTCCCCTCTCCTCTCCCTCCTGAAACAAATGCAGCAGCTACATGAAAGCAAATACTGTTTTTTAGCATCAGCCCAACTTTAATTTTTTAGTCCGAAACAAATATATTTAAACATATTGGGGGAGCAAATCTTTCCCTCTCTCTCATACTCCCTTTCCTGTCAGCCTACTGTTGAAACAACAAGCCACTAGTGCTGTAAAAAAATTAAATATGACCAATATTGGCTGATACTGATATTAATACCGATATATCGTGCATATCTAGTTTTCTCATGTTATCTATTCACCCTGTATAATATATGTTACATTTTCCATTAGCCCTGATTAGCCTTCTTGCGTAAAATATATAAAAGCATCCCACAGCATGATGCTGCCACCACTATGTAGCCCTGTATGCATGGTTTGTGTTCAATGTGTGTTCATGGACAGTGTCACTGTTTTTCCTCTCATAGCTTTTTTACAGTAAGGGTATTAACAAATAGTTTTCACTTCTCCATTTCCCTTTTCAGACGTGGGGCGACAGTTGCATCAGGTCAAAGAGTTTGGCCTGCAACCAAAGAGCTATTTGGTAAAAAGCCTACCTAAATATTGAGTAACTGATCATATCCTCTGATTTGTTTCTTTAAAAAAAAAAATTAAATCTAACAAAAATTAAATGGTTGGAAAATTCTGGCATTGCAAAGACCAAAATTAAAAATATTAAAAAATGTCTAATTCATACAGAGGAAAGCCTTTTCTGATTTATTTAAGGGATATAGGTGATTAATTTTTAAATCCCTTGATTGGGGTGTCATATTAAACAACAAATCGTAAATACAGTTTTGATACCACTATGACACCTTGGGCCGTCTCAAAAAGGAGTGTCGGCCCACCAGATATATATCTAGTAGTCATTCTTTCATTTATTAATTTGTCAACAAGTTTTGATCTCATCTGATTAAAAAATGTTTGCTACAGGACTTCTAGGAAACTAACAAAGTGGCTTAAAATAGCTTTAAAAAAAGAATCTCCTTTTTCTATTTTTTAAGCAAAATCCCAGCAAAACACATTGAAGTTCAGGGTTGCAACGAGACAAAATATGGAAAAGTTCAGGTGTGAATATCTTTGCAAGCCAAATTATGCTAAAACATGTTTTCCTTTGCCATCTTCTATAACTGTAGATAACTTTACCGAGGTTTTAACTTTCTTTTTCAGACTTCTGTTTTGCACAAATAGCGGGCCGGGCATGCAGCTCACAACAGCCGGCATGCCACCGGCGCAGGATGATGTGGCGTTTGGCTTGTTGAACTCAAGCTGACAGGCTGCCAGGTGGACCTCTGTGCCTGTGCATGCCACAGACTGGATGAGGTAGGAGTTCTTCTGTCGCTCCAAGTACAACCTGAGGAGAGCAGAGATGGGAAACGGACATTGGAAAGTCAACCGCCAAATGAATCAATTGTTTTTACACATATATTCCACTTCTAAATAACTTCAGCATAAAAATGCCAT